AAGTCAAAGAGTATCTATTATTTCCAATAGGAACAAGATGTTTCCCTGTTTTTTTTTGAAATACCGGTGATTGAAGCCAGCTTTTAACCTATTAACCCCATGGCCTGCTCATTAATCATCCATTGGTGACCTATAATCAAGTGACAACTGTCTCAGATTGTAATAACAGCTAAATCATAAACTGATGCGTGGCTTTACTGCTAAATGGATAAGGCCATTGAATTTTGTGTAATGTTCTGTATTAAATGTCAACAATTGTACACAGTTGACCTTATTTAAATCTTTTTCCACTGTAAATTATTTAATGGATAATTTTTTTTGAAAATTATAGTGTTCGGGGGTATTGGTTGCTGGATATAATATTCTGATTGTGTGTTGAGCATGTTTCTTATTAAGTTCAAAAGAAAACTCAATAGTTTTCCAAAGAATGAATCAATTGAGGGATGGTCTGGTATTCTTAGAACTTCTGGATAAACCAGACAGGTTGTAAATACATATCCTTGTCCTTTGTTTGAATGTACTCCTTACAAATGCTACATTTATATTTCAGAAAAGTGGTATTTGCCCTTCTTCCGGCTGTAACCATTGCCTTAAATTCTCTCGTTTTCTCTGTCTTATTTCTTCTCTTTTCTTCTGAATCCGCTGATTTTACTTCCGAGTACACAGCTGTAACTGTCCAGTATTGCACCTAAGTTTTCATTCTATCTTAAGTTTAGACAACGGGTGTGAAAAGCTGGTTCCACAGTTGCAATATCATAGCCATATTTGATGATGAATTTATTAAAAGTGCATCAGTGTATATTTTAGCCTTGACCTAGTGACTTGTAGCAGTCATTAATTTTTATTTTGAAATTCTCATCTTTATTGTTTCAAAATAAATTGCTCTGTTCCTCCTTTGAATGGCTGCTATGCCAATCCTTATGAATAATAGCTATCTTCCACTTAACTTTACACCTTCATATGTGTGAAGTACCGAACACTGTCTTAACTCCATCTCTTGTCTTCCTTTTGCTTCCTTCTTGTTGTGCTACTAATAATATCAGTATCTTGAGGGCCACAATGAATTCTAATGCCATTGGTTTATTCTTAAGATGTTTAACATAATATAGGTTGCTTTATTGATAAAATATTTTATCCATTCTGAGATTAATTGAGTTGAATTGTCTGATCAGTAGCAAAAGAAAGATGCTCATCATTGATTATATTGATCCATATACTTTCTGAGGGAACCTGAGTTAATTACAAATTTATGTCAGTTTAGCCCTATAGGACTTCAGGAACAGTAGGATTCTATTCAACTACAGTCTATAACCTCATGGCCTGGCATATCCACCACTCGACCATTGCCACCAAGCTAGTAAATCAACCCTGGTTCAACGAAGCGTGCAGGAAGGCATGCGGAGCAGCTGGTAAAGCTACAGAACAGAACTGCTTGCATGTTAAATAGCGAAAGCAGCAAGTGATAGTGCGAGTTAAACGATTTCGCAACAAAGGGTGAGATATAAGCTCTGCAGTCCTGTCACATTGAGTTGTGAATGGTGGTTGACTTTAAAAAAACTCATTAGAAGGGAAGGCTGCACAATGAGAAAGCCCAGTACATTAGTGCAAAAGCCAAGGCTGAAGCATTTGCAAGTATCTTCATTCAGAAGTGCCAAGTGGACAATCCAACTCAGTGTCTTCTTGTCTCCATCATCATAGAGCTTTCAACCAGTTTGATTCATACCACATGATGTCAAGAAACAGCTGAAGACACTGGATAATGCACAGGCTATGGATCCAGACCAGATTCAGGTGATAGTGTTGAAGACTTGTCCTCCAGAACTAACCATAACCTTAATCAACCCTGTTCCAGTAAACACAGCAAAGCACTCAACGGCAATGTGGAAAATTGCCCAGGTATGTCTTAGCCACAAAAAGTAGCATAAATACCACCCTGCTCTATTACCCCATTGGTTTACTCTTCAACTCATTAAAGTGATGGATGATGCCATTGGTACAAGGCAGTATTTGAGAGTGGCATCAAGGAGCCCTACCAAATCCAGAGTCAATGACAACGAGGGGGAAACCATCTATTAGTTGTATTCATACTTCGCACAGAGGAAGTTGGTTATGGTTGATGGAGGTCAGTCATCTGAGATCCAGGACTTCTCTGCAGGGGTTCCTTAGGCTGTGTCCTAGGCACAACCAACTTCAGTTGCTTCATTAATGACTTTTCCTTTATTCTAAAGTCAGAAGTGGGGATGTTCGCTGATGATTACGTAATGTTCTACACCATTCATGGCTCCTCAGACACTGAAGCAGACTATGCTCAAATGCAGCAAGGCCTCAACAGACTCCAGGTTTTCGTGGAAGAGGGGCAAGTAACATTTGCATCACACAAGTGCCAGACAATGACCAATTGACTATTACCCCTTGACATTCAATGACATTATCATCATTGAACCCCTACTATCAACATCCTAGAAGTTACCATTGACCAGAAATTGAATGGGAAAAACCATATAAACACTGTGGCTACAAAAGCAGGTCAAAGACTAGGAATCCTACAATGACCAATTCACCTCCTGACTTCCCAAAGCCTGTGCACTATCTATAAAGCACTAAAGCACTAATCAGGAATGTGATGGAATACTTCCCACTTGCGTGTATCTCCAACAACACTCTCAAATCTTGACACCATCCAGGATAAAGCAATCTACCGAACTGACAGCCGATCTAACATCCTCAAGATTCAATCTCTCCACATAGCATCATCAGTGTGTACCATCTACAAACCGCACTGCAGTAACTCACCAAGACTTCTGAGACAGCACCTTTGAAACTTGGGACCTCTACCATCTAGAAGTTCAATGGAAGCAGATACATGGGAATGCCACCAAGTGCAAGTTCCCATCCAAGCCACACACCATCCTGCTTGAAACTGTATCATTATTCCTTCAGTGTCACTGGGTCAAAATCCTGGAACTGCCTCACCAACAGCATTGTTTGTGTACAGCTTACCATCACCTTCTTAAGAGTAATTAGGGATGAAAAATAATTTCAAGCCTATCCTGCAATGCCCACATCCTGTGAATGAATAATAAAACAAATCAGGATATTTCAAAATGTTTTGTAGCCAATGAACACACTTGAAGTGCAGTCACCATTCTAATACAGGGAACATTTTTGGACTAGAATCGTATGCAGACCAGATGGTTGTTTAATTTGAAAGGGTGCAGAAAAGATTTATAAGGATATTGCTGGCGTTGGGGCATTTGAGCTATAGGGCGTGACTCAATAAGCTGTGGCTATTTTCTCTGGCGCGCCAGATGCTGAGGGGTGACTTTATAGAGGTTTATAAAATCATGACGGGCATGGATAGGTTGAGTAGCCAACGTCTTTTCCCCAGGTTAGGGGAGACTAAAACTAGAGGACATAGATTTAAGGTGAGAAAGGAAAGGTAGAAAAGGAACCTAAGGGGCAACGTTTTCACGCAGAGGTTGATGTGTATATGGAATGAGGAAGTGGTGGAGGCTGCTACAATTACAACACTTAAAAGGCATCTGGATGGGTATATGATTAGAAGGGGTTTAGAGGGATATGCGCCAAATGGGAATAGATTGATTGAGGATATCTGGTCAACATGGATGAGTTTGACTGAAGAATCTGTTTCCATGCTGTACAACTCGATTACTCTATGATTCTATTATGGAGCAGGGTTTGGTTACCTTTCTTACATTTGTGAAATAAATAGATTCCTGCAATAGTTCAATGGTGTTCATTTTTTAATGATGGCAATCTACAAGTTACAATTCAATGTATTAATTTTGCCATGGTGACTTTTGAACTTCTAATCAGTAACCTATTAGTTCAGCACCGTAGCTACTTAGCTAATGACATCTCTCAATGTGTCAGGGGAAAACCACTAATCCATGGCTTACAGTTACTTTTCACTTTAATTCTTGTCACGTAGACTGTTATAATCCCTAAACCAAAAGACCTATATGTATCAAACAACCTGTATATGAAGAAATTACTAGCAACATTTCACTTTATGGAACTTTTTTTTAAATTGAGTCAGAACCAAATAAATGACACATAAGGTAACAGGAAGATAACAGTTAAAACAAACTATAAATTATTCACATAATAACAGCTACAAGAGAGACAATCTCATTGGTTCAGTGGGCACTCCACTCTACCTGTAGCGCTTCAGTTTCAGCTACAGTCATACAGTTTGTTCAAACAAAGTTTCAGTCCCCTTCCTTGAAAAATCTAGCCAATCTATATGCAACACTCCCATGTAATTGTCTTGGCAGAGCATATTTCTTTCCTGCAAAAACTTTCTCAAATCTCCTTTCCTGGTCTTCAGTTTCTGCTTATCTTATGCCTATGTGCCACTAGGCTTCTATATTTTAACTTTTTTCCTGTTTGTACTGCTTCAGTGTCAAGGGTTGTTAGATCACTTGGAACAGTACTTCCTATTTTCCACAAATTACAATTGGTCCATTTATAATGATGCTTGCTCTCAGAATTCCTTCACAAATAGAGTAAAAAACTGTAGTGATTGTAACGAGGTCAGCCAGGTGGACCTCATAGAATATGAGCTCCCTGATTGGGGCTGTTAACCTGATCCAATCAGGGAGCCCTGGCTGACAAATATAAACAGGAGTATCAGAGGTTCTACTCACTTTGAGAAAGGTAGACCAGGGTGAAGTATTAAAAACATATAAATAAAGGGTGAGTCGGTGACGGGATGCCAGTCTCTGTGGAGTTACTTCAAAAACAATTACAGATTCTTCACATGTTTGACAGTAATCAAAAATGTTAACTACCATAACTTGTTACGGATCAAAGACTGTCATAAGAAAGCGAATTTGTCGCAATTAATGTGATATATTATTTTACACATTCCAGGCTCCATAAAATGTGTTTAGCCTAATGTCCTGTAGATAAATTTACATGTTGGTATTGTCCCTAAGTTTTCTTACTGGCATTAACACATTTTCATATCTGTGCAGATTTTAATGAAGTGATACCAGAGACTGAAAGACTTGACAGCAGCTTGCAGAAGGCTCGAGCCCAACTCTCTATTAAGGCAAGACGGCAGCGGCCATCCAGATCACGACTACGCGACAGCATAAGTTCCACAGAGGGAGATGACAGCTTGGAAAGAAAGGTAAATGATTTTCCTTTGCAGTTGTATGACCATAGGAGCACCAATGCTCACCCAGCATGGATCATTTGGTAACACCAGGATAAAGTTGAACTGAAGATCTGGGAATTATAAATTGCTCTGAATTAGTGGATGTCAGCCTGTCACCGGTACAAGTATTGTAGTCTTGACTTCTGTCTGATTGCTGTTCGGCAAACTCTACTGGAAAATGTTGTGCATGGACATAAGGATAGCATTAGAATTGGCCATGATGCTTTCCATTAGAGGCAATTAATGCCCTATCAGTTACTATTTATGTTCACAAATGAAGAATGGGCTTTTGGGTGAGAAAGTGAAAAATGCACAGGGAACCGTACTCCAGAGGGAATCTAAACCTTCAGTGACTATTGCCAAGGTCAAGGAAAACAATAATAAACACAAGATAATGAGATACATGTAGATGTTTCAGAGTCTGATTATGAGGTAATAAATGATTAGTAGTACAGTAATTAGATTTCAACAAGTTGAACAGAATGATTGCACTTTGCTTACAGTCCATATTGATCTGATTTCTTCAATTTAGATTGCAGATAGTTATGGAAGTCCTCTGCACAGTATGAGATCTCCTTTACATTCCTCCCTGCGGGGCTCCTCTCCATCTTCAGAATCTGCTATCTCTTCAGCATCTCCCTCACAGCGAGCCTCGTCCTTCTCGTTTGATGTTAACATTGTGAGGAGGACACTTGAAGAAGGGGAGCAGGCATCAATGGTGATGACCCGGTACCAGACTCTGACTGATGCTTCCTCCCAGGAAGCACTGGGCTCGACTCCTACTAGTTCCCCTTCCAAATCCTGCCACAGTTCTGACACCTCCCCAGTTCACATGAGGAGAGAGAGAAGAACAGAGAAGCACAGTGAAGGTACTGTTATTCATTTTTCCATTCATTTCTCGTTGAGATATTTTTAGCTTTGTACCTGGACTGAACTTGGAACAATTCATGAAGCATAAATACAAAGTTTAAAGTTTAAATACACGTGGTACAGAAATTTGGCCTACCAGTAAGGAGGTTTTAGAGTGAATTTGGCTGGAAGGGTTAAATAGAAAAAAAAGTAAAGAGCAGATTACAATTCATGAACCTTGTGTGTCCTTCAGAATAGTGTCAGCAGGAATCTATAAACAACAGTTAGGACTATAAAACATTCTAGAGAGGCCTTGGAACCAGAGGAGATTTACAGATAGGTAGGTGACAAACATAGATAAGGGATGGGACAAAACAATGCCAAACTAAATATTTCTTCACTGGACGAAGAAGACATGAATGACATTAACTTAAGACCTAGGATGGACATTTGTTCCCTCCATTTTTATGAAACATAACTGGAATTTGGATAATGAGGTCATTTGCTAATGTTCACTAATGTCTTCCAAGGGTGATTTTGGGGTAACTTCTCATGGTCAAGCACAAGTATCTGAGTATAGGTGTTTGATCATTTATTCAAGCTTATGTAGGGAGAATATATTCTAGGTCTAGCTGGAACAACTCTGAGGAACAGAGGAGAAAGTATTATCTTTATACAGATTTTTACCACATGTGCATCTTATTATCATTTGACTGTAACTTACAATAGAGGGCCAGAAGTAAGTGATTAAGAGTTAAGGAGAGAAGGGAAAGAGGTGTTCTGTTAGCTTTATTTGTTTAAAACCATTCAGTATCAGGAATTAATTTTTATTCTGCTCCAGGGGGATTATTTTGGTTATTCTGTGGTTATGTCTTAAGTGCTGGGCTAGTGAACTAGAAATCAAGCCCTACTATTCATGGAGTCATCACAAATGTGAAAATTTTAATAAAGCACTAAATTACTTAATTTTACTGTCAAATTCATGGACAAAAATTCAGATCATGTTGTCTTTTTCCCCATTAACAAGAAAATTGTAATCAAACTGTTTTTTAACAATGACAAGAAGTAGGCAAGCATAGCTAATTTATAACCATGTAACTTGAATTCTACCCTTCTTAAAACTCCCATATTTATACAAATAGACAGACAAAGAGAAAAGACACAAAAATTACATGTGAGGAAGGAAAGAAAATTAGCAAAGAACAGTTCTGGCACCAATAAGGATCATGGACGTCAATGAGTTGTTTAATTTTGCCTCCTTTCTATTTCCTGCAACTTTTTGCTGATGACCCAAAGTTGTGAATTCTCAGTTTTTCTTTCATTAGTTAAGGATTTCCCCTTTCAGTAACCTCTAAAGTTCAGCTTGGCCTCTTAACAGGCAATTTGTAGATATGGCAGCTTACAGAGAACAGTGAAGGAGAGTAGCTACCTGCTAGGGATTTTCCATTAATTCTCTACATAGAAGCATGAAAGACAGCAAGAAATGCTTTCTCTTTCCAAACTGAATGTTTCTGCTACGTTTTCCCCACACAAGGCTCGTACCACTTGCCCAGGAACCAATCAAATGATTGTTACCTTGTGGAGCACACCTGAGCCCAGAACAACTGATGCTGATTGAGAAGCCAATCAAAAGACTGTCTTTGGGCAAAATTGCCTTGAATACACACAGGTGGTGCTATTTTGTCTGGAATTCTCCCTCTCATTGCTGCAATAAGGCAGCATTGTATGTACTACTCACAATTTGGAGTGGTAACTTGTTTTTAAAACTGCAGTGTCTTTTGCACAGATTCTTTGGTTTAAAGAAATATATTTTCCATCTTGTTTTAGTCCACAGTTAATAAAATATATCAAAATACAACTAGAATAAAATAATTAATTAATTTCTTAGAACATGATCAGGAGACCAGAACAGGTCATGATTGGGAGTGGAGCATGTGGGAGTTCCTGGATGCATGTCTGCAGTACGTGTTTGAAGCTTGAGTAGCTTCAGCTCTGATTTTATGAGCTCAGTTGATCTTCAGACTCTGTGATGCATCAGGGAGGGGGATGGTAACTTGGGTCCTTTATACTATGAGGCAGTCACTTCTGTTCGTGTTGGCTTGGCTGATCTGGTCAGTGTTTATGGAAAGGAATGTGTGAATGTGAATAAGGCACGTGAGGGGACCCAGACAGCAGGAGCACAAGAGCCTCACCCTTTGCAATTGTCCAAGGTTTGCAACTTCTTTCAACTTGTCTGGATGAGAGTGAGGCTGCTGACTGACCATTGAACCATGGTCCAGGAAACTATTCAAGAGGGGTGTGAGAAGGAATGAAATGGTGGTAGGAAACAATCTAGTGAGGAGAATTGATACCATTCTCTACAGCAAACAGTGTGAATGCAAATAGCAATGTTGCCTGCCCAGTGCCAAAGTCCAGGAAATCAGCTTAGAATTGGAAAAGAAGCTGCAGTAAGAGGATGTAGGCCCAGTTGTTGAAGGTGCCAATGACATAGGCAGGACAAAGCAGGAAATGTCGCATAAGTGTGAAAATCTAGGTGCCACATTAAGAAACTGAACCTCAAAGATCATCATCTCATCTCTGCATTATTACCTGAGCCATGTGCAAATGGGCGTGGGGCAAACCCGATTAGAGAGATGCACGTGTAAATCAAAGACTGGTGTGGGAGAAACGGGCTCCAGTTTGTGGGGCATTAGCGCCACCATCAGGGTAAGTGAGATCTGTAATGGTGGTGAAAGTCTCCACTTGAACCATATTTGGGTCTTCTTGCCAATACAGTAACTAGGGAAGAAAAGATTTTAAATTAAACAGGAGAAAGGGATCAAATTTGGAATGGTGTGGGCAATCAAAGAGTAGAGTCAAAGCCAAAGAAAATACATTTATATGGAAAATGATGAACAGTCCATGACAAGAAGGGGTTGAGAGTACAAGTTCAAGACAATCGTTGAGATTAGAACACACAAAGAAAGTAAAAGGATAAAACTAAAACATCTGTATCTAAGTGCATGTAGCATTCAAAGCAAATAGATGAACTGAGATGCAAATAGAAATGAACAAGTATGATCTAATGGCGATTATGATCTAATAACAAAGAGATGATGGGAACAAGACACGGATCAGGAACTTGAATCCAGTAGGCTAAGGCACATTTAGTAAAGAGAGGATTCTAGAAAAAGGTGGAGGTGTGGTTGTGTTAGTTAATGATGATGTTAGCATTATTAATATTAAGCTTGGGAAACCAAGCTGTGGAAAATGTTTGGATAGAAATAACAAATGATAATGGCAAAAAGTTAGTTGTGGACTGGTGTACAGGCTCCCTAACATAAAGTGGAGCATAAAGAAAGAAGTAATGAAGGCTTTTCAGAGAAGCATAATAGGAGATTTTAATCTAATTATCAATTGAAAAAGTCAGATTGGCAAAGATAGCGTCAATGAGAGATTCATAGAATCTTTTTGGGATAGCTTTTTAAACAGCATGCTCTGGAGATAGCCAGAGACCAGGCTATGCTAGGCTTTGTACTGTGCAATAAGATAGAATTAATGAATAATCTTATTGTGAAGGTGCCCCTAGGTGGCAGTTACCATAATATGATTGAAAGTGACTATGGAATGGGAAAGGATAATGCAGAAGCTAAATGTCCAAACTGGGGGAAGGCCAATTTCAATATCATTAAACAGGATCTGGTAAACGTAGACTGTGAGCAGGCACTTGCAGGTAAATCTATATTTGGAAAGTGGTAATCTTTTAAAAGTGGTATAGTGAGAATTCAGGGCCAGTATCTTCCTCTAAGTGTGAAGAGCAAGGGCAGCAAATCCAGGGAACGCTGGATGTCAAGTGATATTGTGAGTTTGATAGAGAAAAAGAATGAAACATATGTTAGGTAAAGTGTATTAAAAAGAGAGGAAACTCTCCAAAAGTATGGAGAGTGTAGGGGGGGTTGCCTAAAAAGAAAATTAAAAGGCCAAAGATGGGCCATGAAATATCTTTGGCAGATGGGATCACATGCTGTGGATAAAGGGAAATCAGTGAATGGACTGGACGTAGAGTTTCAGAAGGCATTTGATAAGGCATCACATCAAAAACTATTGTGGAAAATAAAATTGCATGGAGTAGGGATAACATATTGGCACAGAGATTGGCTGACTCAGAGAAAGCAGAGAGTAGATATAAATGTCTTTTTTTAACATTGACATCCCATAAATGATTAGCCACAGGAATTGATTCTGGGACCTCAACTGTTGATCATTTATAAATGACTTTGATTCAAGGAAAGAAAGATATGGTTATCAAATTGGCTGATGACACAAAGGTAGGAAAGTAAATGGTAAAGAGGGCATGAGGAGGTTACAAAAAGGTATAAATAAGTTGAGAAGGCAAAAATGGGGCAAATAGAGTATAATATGGGAAAACTGTGAAACTGTCCATTTTAGCAGGAAAAATAAAATTGAGCATATTACCTAAATGGTGTGAGACTACAGACTCTGAGTTGCAGACTGATGTGGGTGTCCTCGTTCAAGAGCGACAAAAGGTTATTGTGCAGATTCGGCAAGTAATTAGGAAAGATAATAGAATGCTATCACTTAACACAAGAGGAATTGAATATAATAGTTAACTGTGGAGACTGTGGTGGTGGGTTGCATAAAAAGAAAATTAAAAGGCCAAAGATGGACCATGAATTATCTTTGGCAGATGGGATCACATGCTGTGGATAAAGGGTGTTATGCCACAGTTATGCAGGGCACTGGTGAGCCCACATCCAGAGTACTGTGCACAGTATTTGGTCACCTTTTTTAAGAATAATGTTCATGTGTAAGTGCTAGTTCAGAGAAATTTACTAGACTAATATCTGGAATGGGGTGCTTTGTGTTCAGAGGAAAGGTTGGAAAGCCTGGGCTTATATTCGCTATTGACTTATATTCACTAGTAAACAGTGACTGTATTGAAATATACAAGATCCTAAATGATCTTGACAGAGTAGATATGGAGAGAATTTTTTTAGAACTAGGAGCCTCCGTTTAAAAA